TAGATTTATCTATTTCTTTCTTCTAGTAAGGTTTGCTTCATATATCTTGGTGCTTTTTTAGTGGGAGCATAGATATTTATTATGGTTATGTCGTCTTGCTCAATTGACCCTTTGATCATGAGATAGTGTCCTTCTTTGTTTCTTATGCTGGTTTTTGTCTTAAAGTTTACTTTATCAGAGATTAGAATTTCTACTCCTGCTTGTTTATTGTTGCAGTTAGCTTGGTATATTTTTTTCCATCCTTTAGCTTTTAGTATGTTTTTGTCTTTATGTGTAAGGTGTGTCTCTTGCAGGCAGCATATTGAAGGGTCTTGTTTTCTTATCCAATCCGCCACTCTCTGTTTTTTCACTGGTGCATTCAATACATTGATATTCAATGCAATTATTTATAGGTATGAATTAATTGCTGCCATTATATTAATTTTTTGGTACTGCTGTTCGTTCCTTTGTTCTGCATGCTTTCTTGTGCTGAGTTTGTGTTTTTTGTGCTATTTCTTGTCGGTTTCTTCTTAGTTTTCATGTTTGCTTATTCTGCTTAGAAGTTCATTTTCATGGTAAGTTGTGAAGTATTAACTTTCTTTAGGGTTACCTTATAACCTATTAACTTTTCTCCCCATTTAAGAGAATCTCTTGTATCCTGTAATTTACCTGACATCCTCGCCACCCGGGTCTCTGTTCCTACACTTATCCCTTCTTCTACACTGATATTATTTTGAGCTTCAGTTGACCTCCCAGCTCCTTTGAATTTGTTGCAGTTTTGTTCTGTTCTGAACTCCACTATCTGTCAACTGAGTTCCAGGTGGTGTTGCCACACCTGTTAATCTCTGGTTGATGTCTGTTCTTGTTGGTTTTCAGTCCAAAGAATTCCCTTTAAGATGTTTTGAAGTGCTGGATTGGTTTTGACAAAATCTCTTAGATTCAGTTTATCCTGGAATGTTTTGATTGCACCATCGTATTTGATTGATAGTTTTGCTGGATAAACGATTCTTGGTTGGCAGTTTTGTTCTTTTAGGGTTTTGTACATGTCTCCCCATTGCCTTTTTGCCTGCATGGTTTCTGCTAAGAAGTCAGAGCTTAATCTGATTTGCTTGCCTTTGTAAGTGACACTT